TCTGCGCATACACATGCGCGATGGCAACATGCCGATGCAATCAACTAGTCTTTTACTTAGGGGCTATTTTTTCTTCCCAATGCTTGCTATTGATAAATTCAAGCCCACTCCGAGTTGTTTACTATCGGCAGTTGTCCGGCCCCAGAAACCGTTGTCTGGACAGAGCCCGGATTTTGGAAAGTGGCTGAGTTCTGATCAGTAAACCTCACATAGATGGATTGTGCTATATAGTGTAAATTCAAAATGAGAAACGGTTTGATCAGCTGTCCAGTGGCTGAGTGGGTAGTATGCTGGCGTTCTACCTGTGAAGTCCCGGATTTGATCCCCAGTTGGGTCGATGGATTCGCACTGCTGATGAGACCAAACCAGGTCGAGACAGCTGTCCCGTGCTTCCCAACTTTCCAGCTCAGGCCTCATTTACACGACGAATTCATCATGTAAACAAATGAAATTCTCCATTACTCTTATGGGACCTAATATATGGTGAAAACAGATAATCGAAGGAGAAAAAGCACGCGTGAAGGCTGAATAACCCCGGGAAATTTTGTAGAACTTCTGGGCATAAATTCGCTGAGTATTAACAAATTTCAAAACAATAGAAATCTACGCACAGTGTTTTTTTTCGAGTTTTCGAATGTTTTATCGTCTGCCATACAGACAGCGAAACAACTCGTTGTATAGCACCTTCTCAACTATGTGAGTTTCAGAATCTCGAAGACGAATCAACGTCGTTTGTGTAAAAGTCTGAGGTCTCATTTTTATTTTTTTACGTAACTGTAACGTCAAAGGATGGGGAATATCAGTGATATATATATTCGTATATGATTGACTTGATGGACGAATAGACAGTCGAATTCAGTTTGGAGCGTGCATGTAAACCGGATGCACTTAGAAGTGTCTGTAACTGCATGCTTCGCTGTTTGCAGAACTCAGCTATACAATCTGGTTAGGTATCTCATTCCATCATATCAGTTATGGTTTGACTACTGTTGCCTTTCCGGTTAAATATCAAACACCAATATACCTATATGGTGTCATATATAACAATTATCTCAGTCGCATCCTCTGTTGCCTGTAAGGTTAGAATAAGTCTGGACACTTGACAGATTAAATCATGTAACATAATTTTTAACTTTGAAGTTGTATAACCTATGCTGAGCAGAGAAATATTACTATGCAGGCCATTCAGGGAACCGCACTTCTTACGTGTATCTTTATCCAACTATGCACAATCATATGCATACTACCAATCAGAACAATTGCCATCAGGCTTTATCCTTAAAAGAGGGGGGAGCGTTTTTAAAAAATCACATCCATTGCTAAGTCTCGTTCGGTGGACGAGGTAAAATGGTCGATCCAGGAAAGTGGACTGATAGCCAACGCACCAGCAAACAAAACACAACACAGAATCTTANTTTTAGTTAGAGGCAGGGGTAATGATCACTGAAGAAAGTCGGACATGCAAAGGTTGTTTGATTCACTATAGATCAAATAAAAAGTGCTTGTCTCACCTATCAAAAGGTTAGAGAACAATCTTCCTTCAGATTAGTGCACCGTAAAAATCTAAATTAATATTGTTTACAGTTGCCTAACGTTTAAAAGTTTTCTAATCAATGAGATCATGCACCAATTGCAAATCAAAGCTTCTTTTTCAGGCGGAACCACATCACAAACAAACAGACGAAGCGTGTTCAGTAAGCCAAAAAATCAATATGCTAATAACGATTGAAATAGAACCACCGCGCAATCTGTTGATATTTTGTTATCAATGTTTTCTTTGCTCAG